TGTAAAGATGCAGCTAAAGAGCAGCTCTCGAAATATCGGCTGATCAACAATCAATGATTGGCTATTTTTGGGGAAATTTTCAAAAAATTCAGGGGAAAATAATCTGTTTTTTTGAAAAAACTACATTTGATTGGCAAGATTTGAAAAACTATTTCGAGCGCTGAAAGAACTTCATCTTGACATCGAAAAAATCACAAGAGGCTTGCGAGCTACAGGTTGCACCCATTGTATAAACATTTAAACAATGTAATGTAGACAATGTACTTATATGAATCTTTTTTGAATGCACAGAAGACTGAGGCAACAATAACTTTGAAAAAATAATACCGTTACGAGTAAACATCTTGTGTAGTTATTTAGTTCTGTATGTCGGGTCTTTTAATGCACAAAATGGTTTTTAAAAAGTAAATTATAGGATAGGAATAAAAAAAACTGAAGGCTTAGCGACTATGTAACACAGAACTGCAAACGCTACCTAATTTTCTTTTTTCTAAATAGTTATATCTATAAAAAAGTAACATGTTCAAAAAAAAAAAAGTGTTGACGTCAACTTTTCTTGACCTCCCCCCTCCCCCTTGTCAACAATTGTCAAAAAAGTTCAGACCCCCATCACCCTTATTTTGTTGAGGTAATTAATGGACAGCCCCAAAAGCATGGTGGTTCTAGATAACGAGAAAGTTAACACATTAACCCACTGATCTCAAAATAATAACTGGATAGCGCATTCGGGAAAATTTTTGAAGCCAGTTTTGGCCTACCAAAATGGCGGCGTGGTTTGCCAATGGCTATAGAAGTACCATTTAAAAAATCAAAAAACCTTAAGCGTAATCAATAAAGATATAATTTTAAACACAAATAAGTTTTTTTTTTTAAAAAACAATTTTTAAAAATAAAAGTAGGTGTATATATATATATATATATATATATATATATATATATATATATATATATATAATATATAAAATATATTTATACATATTCATAAAAAATATATATACATTGCTTAATATAAATATTATTTATCCTAATATATATATAATATATATTAGGAAAAATAATATTTATATTATGCAATATATATATTTTTTATAAATACGTATAAATTTAATCTATTATAAGATAAATAAAATCCTTCAAAAAAATATAATAACCAATTTATGTACCTTTTAGTTCTTAATTATCTTATGCTGTGTGCTAGAAGGTTAATAACACAACTGCATGATAGGCAGCTTAGTATCTGTTTAATATGAATCAATCTTAAAAAAATTTGTTTTAAACAGATACTTGTTATGTACATATGCTGCATGAACTATTAGCTGAGCTCTGTGAGTACACACAACTCAGAGGTTCCTTCTAGAGTTTGTTATTATTAATTGTTTTAGTTTAATTTTAATAGATTTTTTTTTTTAATACAAATAAATATACTAACTATATACACACACATAAATATACTCACCTAGTACATTTAAGTAAGTGTATATATATATATATATATATATATATATATATATATATATATATATATATATATATATATATATATATATATATATATATATATATATATATATATATAAATGTTTGTATGTATACTATATATATGCATATATAACTCCTGATAAGTCGTAACCTTTAAGTGTCCGAGCAAATACTGAAAGTTCAATTTTTTAAAGGTTTGAGTTATCAGGAGTTTCTGTGTATATATCGATGGCATAGTGCACAGATGTGGTAAGTGCAAGATTAAAAACTGTAGAAACTGTCATTTGCGCGCATAATTATAATAAGAAGAGTTTTTGTATTTACCACATATTTTCAATTATTAGATCTTTATCATTTATCGTACACATACCATATTTATGCACGATAAACTATAAATAAAAACAGGTTTTTCTGCGTACTTATCTCAATTTGACCAAAATTTGTACTTACTATATCTGTGCACTAAAATGGTATACTAAAAACAAATGTTTTCATTGATTTTTGAATGAGACAAATTTAATCAACTGCTTCCTAAACTTTTTTCCAGTCAATTTGTTAGTTACTTCTTTGCGTAGGCGATGAAAGTGTATTTTTGAGTAATTTTTTGAAATAACTTTAATCAGTGAAAATAAATGCTTATCAGTTAAAGACGAATCAAGCATATGATGAGTTAGTTCTGTGAATACTTTTGATAAATCAACTGATCTCAAAACAACATTTGCATTTGCACTTTTAATTCCTATATCATTAGGCAGGGTAATATTTGTTGATGTAAGAAACCTTTGGAAACATCTTACTGTTCCTTCGCATACCAAAACAACACTTTTGCTTGGTTTAACCAAACCTCCTCTAGAGAATTTATTCTTAATAAAATGTAACATACATATGTTACATCTTTACATACTATCTATGTGTTAAACTGTCAATAATTATCCTTCAAACTTTGAGGAATAATTATTCACAGTTGAGTTTGACAATGACTTTAAATCTAAGTCATTGAGAGATTATTTTTTACTTTGGAATATAAATACTTTTTTATATTTTCACTGATAATTAAGTCCAGAAAGTTAATGCATTAAATAATAAAATGACTTTTATAATCCTAGAAGGAACCTCTGAGTTGTGTGTACTCACAGTTCTCGCTAATAGTTCATACAGCGTTTGTACAATAATGTTTCTACCTACAAAACTCATGATTTTAAAATTCTTTAAAGATTGTAGGTAGACAACGTTGCTGCTTACCATACAGTTGTGTTATTAACCTTCTAGCACACAGCATTGGGTAATTAAGAACTAAAAGCTACATAAATTATAAACCTCATTTAAAAAGTGTATACTAGCTGAATATTTTAATAATTAGGAATCAAATAAATTTATTTCGTCATCTTATTTTCCTTAAAAATAGT